CAGGAATTACCGCCCTCTCACATCTCCTGTTCTTTGAGTCTGTGATGCTGCAGACTCTGGGTTCATCAGAAAGAAGCCCAGAGCTGGATATCAGCGAATGCCTGCCTCCTCCTGGAGGCACGTCTGGTCTCCACCATACAGATGGCTAAGCTGCCCAGAGCCCAAGCGACTTCCAGTGCTATGCTGCGAGACCACAGCACAGCCAGGAGCAGGAGGCATAAATCCCATTTCATTCCCTTACCTTGGCTCCTGGAGCAGCTGCCTCTTGCTGGGGGATAGCCTTGCCTCTGTCTTCAGATTCAAAGCATCCTCTTGATACCAGGATTAGGACTGAGAGGGACAAAATAAACTCTTTATGAAATGAAAGAGCATTAAAACACAGGGGAACACCAGGAGGCGTTTTGTGCCTGCCGGTATCCCAGCAGATGCCTATAGCTGAGCAAGTGTGGCTGGGCTTCAGGCACTCCCTTCACCCTTTCTGAAAAAAAAAAGGGAAAGCAATCACATACCCAGACGAACCTCTTCTCCCTCAGCCACACCACGCACAACCAAAACCAGCACCTCCGGCTTGTCCCGCTTAAAGATCAGCAGAGCTATTGCTTGCTGCTTGCCTTAACCCTCCACACCTGGCTGGCAGGGCTACTCCTCGCCTGTGGTGGGCACAGCTTTTCTCAAGCCACCCAGTTCACTCCTGCCAGGCTGTAAGTGGCACCCATCCACAGTAGGTCCCTGTGGTGCTGAGACCCCTGGGCACCCAGGATGAGAGCCCGTGAGTCCCCCAAGTGCCACCCAGCCCCTTGGTGCCCTGCCGAGTACCAAGTGTCACCGGAGACCAGAGGCAACAAAACTCTTCCTGACTGTGGAAGGTCCCTGGAGCTGTGACTCCTGTGTGTCCACAGCAGCCATCACCACAGCGACATGGGGACACTCTCCCTTGGTGTAAATCCCCTCAGGACCTCCATAGGCTCCAGCACCAGCCATGCTGCAATAGGACACGCCATTGCTGCAGCACTGGCAAAAATAGGCCCTATTTGTCCAATTTTTGTAATTTACACAACAGGCCCAGGAGGAGGGCGAGTTGCTTCTCATTCAACCACCTGGATCCCATTCCACCTAGAACAGAGGGGCAGCTGGTGCAGGTTTCGATATCGCACTCTGGGAGCCGATGCCTGTGAGCAAAGCCTTGGAGTACCCACCCTCCAGTCACCTCGGTCCTCTTCTGGCTTTGGCCAAACCCAAGTTTCAAAGCCAAAGTCTCCCAATTCCCCATGTCTGCTGTAGCTGTGCTGTGCCAGAGCTGTACGTGGTAAAACATACAGGTTCCTTAATTGTAACAGTGCATGGAGGAAGAAGGCATGACTGAAATTGTGGTGTAAAACACGGGCAACACAGAACCAAGCTTTCAGCATTTCTTTGAATCAAATCCAGCAAAGCCTCGTCAGTGAAACAATTTTGCAATATCCAGTTATTCCTTCATCAAAACCAAATGTAGTTTCCTCTCTGCCCTTAATCTGAAAGCATCCTACATTAGATGATTTTTTTTTTTAATATTCATTAATGAAATATAAACCCCATCATTAATTTGCCAACAATATTGCTTTGCTGGTTTTGACATAAAAAACCCTCTACTGAGCCACTCTTGAACCAGCATTATTTGGATAGAACTAAAATGTTATTTCAGGTTCTTTGGAAGATATTTGGAGATCTTTTTGCTCTTTCTGGTACTCCTCACTCCTGTCATCTTAAAATAAATTCAAGCAATCTCATCAGTGATAGGAAAGAGGGGAGATGCTGAAAAGAGTATCTGGATTTATCTATTCAAGTGTTTTGTGTAACCCAGTCTGACTTTATTCCACGCTGGGAAACCTGATTGTTTATTCTCATATGTAGTCCTTTGCAGCCCCTCAGACCATGAAGATAAGAGCAAAGCTTTTAAAATAATGCAGTGTCGTATCTCTAAAAGATTCCTGTAAATCTGCCTTTGAGGCCGGAGGGAGGGAAGGAGAATCCAGCTGAACAAATACTTTAAAAAAAACACATGTTATACACTACAAATCTATGTAACCACTCAACAAAACTGAAAGAAAAAGAGGAAAGAAACACCTGCAAAACAGCACGGTAAATTATACATGATGCAAGCAAATGATAAGGAAACTTTTCCAGCCTTTAGGGACATGAAGTGAAATGCAGAATGCTCAAAGTTGGCTTGGCTCACTCTGCTTGATTTGAATTTCAAGCTCTGATATACAAAAAGCTTTGTCTCAACACAAGGTTTTGAAGTCCTGCAGGACTGACTGCCTGGATGCTTTTGCTTTGAAGCTGTCTAAAGCCTCCCTCGTCATCACTTTTTCACATTAAAATACATATTCTCCATTGCAGGACTTCGCAAATAGATTTTCAGCTGTTCTACCCCCCCCCGCCCCGTCAGATTGATTTCTTCAAGCTCCAAGTATATGCAGACTTAATAGAGAGATCTTTAAAAAAAATAATGCTTTCCTTAGAGAAAACACCAAGTTAAAGGCCATTTTTTTGCCTCCTGCTGGCAGGTTTTGCCAACAAAACCAGAAAACATAATATGATCAGAGTGATCTATGCTGTAAAGCAAAACTGTCTGTCTCTTCTAAACCATTCTTTTGTCCTGGTGACAACAATTCCTAACATTTAAGTGTTTGCATGATTTCAACTGCCTTACAGTTGACGCCCTAGCCCAGTTTCATGAACTGGACAGAAGACAGTGAACGCGCGTTGTGGTTAACACCACGGGCTCTGCCGCTTCCCTGACTCTGCATTTCAGGCTCAGTGCTGGGTCCTGGCCCTCACCCGAGACTGGTGTTCCCTCTGCCAAGCGCCAACAGCTCCTGCATCCTCCTGGCTCACACAGAGCACGTTTGCCTTTCTTTCTTTTTGCAGCCTTTTCTTTCTTCCTCCACCTCATTTTCCTACTCGTCCCACTCTCCTCCTGCTTTCCTCCTGTTCATGACCCAAACTCATGATCTGTTGCCTCTTAAACTTTTCTTCTTGGACTTAAATTCTCCACCTGCCTCTTCGGTAGAAGGATAAACACAACAGATTCAGAAAACAGTACTGTAATTGAATGAACCATCAAACTTACCCAAGGGTATGATGTTTTTCCAAAGAAACACATTTCCATCTTTCATGTTGTATATAACAAGTAATAGTGATCAGGATTTGATGATGATCTTTACCTACCAGCAATTAAAAGATTTTAGGCAAAGCATTACGTGTTTTAAAAATATAAATACACTGTGACGATTCATGAGCTGGCATAATCAGACAGATCAGCAAGGAGCCGCATCGGTGAGGAACACCCTTAAAATTGACTAGGGCAACTTTAACTGCAGCACGAGCAGCGGTGTCTCCAGTTACTCCATTGCCTTTGCTTGGAAGGCTGAATTCCACCTGCTAATTGAAAAGCAAATAACACACCTGTGCTTTTAATGAATAAGATTTACTAATCCCACCCTGTGCAGTCTAAATAGAGACTCAGTGCAGAAAGTATTAGATCCAATTCTTTTTATGTAAATTTTCCTCTATGTTTTCCTTTACTCCACCTACTTAATTTATTTCTGAAATCCTGCAGCTCCAAGTCACCCTTATGTTCTAAAGCCCTTTCATGGTAATAACCCCAGAAGCCCAGACCCTTTATAATCTACCTTGGGGATAACAGCAAATGACCACACTGCAACACCCCAGATCTGAGGGGACTCCCAGTCCTCAGGGCATTTGTTGCACCAGCTTCACTATCTGGTTCTCTGCCACCCGCTCCACACGTTCACCTGCCATTCCTCCTCTCTTCCCCTGCTATAATCCTGAAAATGCTTCTTGGTGGCTGTCGGGCTGTGCTAGAGTTTCAGATGTGATGCTCCCTTGTTCTACTTCCCCAGCTGCTGAGACGGGAGCAAGGTCTGCTAATGTTATTTGCTGTTGAAGAGGGACCGGCTGTGAAATGTATTCTCTGCTGCCTCAATCTCCAAATCCAACTGTAAGCCTCCTCCTCCTCCTCCACCAGCTTACCTTCACAGCTGCCCATATTTGTTCCCTCCATGCCTCCAGAAACATCTCTTCTTCTCATTTCCCTTACCTCCTAAGAGGACATCCCTACACCTTCTCTTTATTTTCCCAAATCCCATTTCAGCCCCATAAATCTCCCCACATGATCTAATCCCTCCCTATCCCCTGTCCTACAGGAGCTCCACTTCATACACAGGA